CCTAGAAACAACATTCACAGAGACACCTCCCCAGTGAAGGAGAGCACACACTTGCCCAGTCTCTCTCCCTGGGCATCAGGGTTCTGGGCACAGGACCCGACACACCCTGCCAGGAGCCCAGCGAAGGAGAGGAGTTCAGTGAAGCAGTAAGAACTGAAGCGAGTTAGCAGAACTTCCTGGTCCTGCGTCTTTAGGCACCGGCATTTGGGTGGGGCACTGCAGTGGGAAAGGGTGAGGATTTGCTGTGGGTTTTAGAAAATAGCACAGATGCCCATGTGTCTCGGATGGCTTAGCTGACGCCGGCTTAGAGGCCAGACGGATGGATTAGCGGCCTCTGGAGGTCCTCCCACCCCTATGTTGCCACGGTTCCCCAGACACAGCACAGACACACAGAAGCCGTCCTGTCCAGGGCCAGGATCAACAAGCAGACACGCACCGTTGCCTCACTAGTATTATCCTCACACGCAGCCCTAGCGGCAGCCAACACTGACTGGGGCCGGCACTGCACTCAGAGGCTTTTCACGCATCCCGAGGCAGGTACTATTATCTCCACTTTATGGGCAAGAAGACGGAGGCACAGAAAGGTTAAGTAACTTGACCAAGGTCACACAGCTGGAACTCTGCAGCTCCAGGACTCCACGTCAGGTGTGTCTGATGCTGACCCAGGAGCCACACCGCCTCTCTCAGCACGAGTCTCTTTGGAGCCTGGGGCTCCCTGCTAGGATTTCCCAGGAAGAAAGCGTACTAAACAGGCAGGCAGTTCATAACTGGGTCTAAGTACACTGGCCCTACGTGGCATGCCCTTGTTTATATAGGCTATGCGATTTATTCGTGGAACATTCAAATAAAATGTCACCCTGCTCCCCGGTAGGTGCCAGAGCTCATTTTTCTCTATTCTTTCCTCCTCCCTCCATCACTGACCCAGATCCCTCCCACCTCGGGTAGTCAGCAAAAAGCACAGGCATGGAACAGAGGGAAGGGCAGAGCCTGGGGGCACAACAAAGGCAGTGGCAAGACCTTGAACCACACAGACTCGGACTAAAACCTCCCCACTGCAGATAGGATACCTCCACGCCCACCCTCAGCTACTCAAAAGACCCCCGGGCTGTCAGACCGCAGCAGACTGCACCCCTTCTCTGCTTATTGCTCACTAAGTGGCCACGAAGGAGATACCCCCTGGGCCCCCAGGGGCCGTGCGTGCCTTCTCCTTGAACCCTGGCTCCACCATCGAGTAAGAGGTGTTCCAACCGCTCACAGGACAGCCCTGGGTGGGCCGCCACTCACCCAGGTCCATATCTGCAGCCTTGGGCCGGTGGGAGCAGGGCACGTTTTTGAAGATGGCATCCAGAATCTTCTCCTTGACCTGAGTGATGGTGTCACAGTTGAGGATCTTCACTGGGACCTCAGGGCTGTTGGCGTTGTCTGGGTTGACACAGCTCAGGACCTGGGGGAGGGGGAGAGAACCACGTGGAGTGGGCAGCAGGAAGAGCTTGAAGGGTCCCTGCAGCATCCCGGGCCCCTGTCCTGACCAGCTCCCCCTCTGCGGGCTGGACCGGAAGGGGATGGGGAGAGCCCGGCCCAACTGTGCTCCCACCAAGCCCTCTGCCCTTCTAGTCCTACGAGCAGCAGGAAGGTGCTGTGACTTCAGGGTCATCGCAGGAGTAGGGCTGCACACTGAACAATCCTGATTTTTTTCCAGAGAGAACCATGTCCAAGTAGAAGGAGGCAGTGAGGGGAAAACTGCATGAGATTGGACACTAATGCATGCATGCGTGCACTCTACACACACACACACACACACACACATGCAGAGGTA